GGAGAGTCGCACATGACAAAATATTTGCAGCATGTGGCAAGTATCCCAGCGGCGGCTAAAAATGCTGCCTTATAAAATTATGAAGAGCTGCAGCTACAACAACAAATTTCAAGCACTTGAAGCTTAAGTGTAATTGAAAACGACATACAAAAAAAAAAAAAACGAAAGAAAACTGAGCCGAGAAAATGCCTCCCTCTACTTAATTTAACTTTATGTGGTCTCGGTTCGAATAAACCTCAAGTTAAACTTGGCAAATTCCCGGCCAAATACAGATACACACATACACATGCACACATAAAAGTTGCCATAAGCCACGTCCGTTGCAAAAGAGCATCGCAAACGCTTAAATGTTTGTTTATGCAAATGTTGCGCATACGCCACGTTTGACGCCCCAGGTGACAGGCAGGCAGGGCAACCATTTGACGTTTGCGACATGTACAAGTTTTTAGCGTTTGCATTTTATATATTTACTGTTTAACTCGAAATGGAATTAGCAAGTTGTAAAAACAGGCCGTTGAGCTGCAGAGTGGGGCAACAATAATAGGCTAAAGTTAATTTATCGATTTAAAGTTTGTTCAATTCCAATTTACTTAGTTAACATTTTTATCTCTATATATAAAACTGTTTGTCCTGATTGACTGACTGACTGACTGATTGGGTATCAACCCACAGCCCAAACTGGGAAGACTTAGGAAGCTGAAATTTTCACTGTAGTTACCTTATGTAATGAAGGTGCACGTTAAGACGGGGTTTTGGCAAATTCCACCCGCAAGTATGGAAAAATCGAGAAACACGTTTGTGTGAAACTTTTTTGTTTACCATCCGATCGGCCTTAAGCTCAATTTCAAAAATCTTTGTTCAAATTTATTTGAGGGGTGTTTCAAACATTTCCGAAAATGTATTCCTCCTTGGTGGAAATGGGTGTCAAAGATTTGGTGGCTGACGTTTCGCGCTTAAATTCATTTTCAAGGATCTATATGAAAAATCATTTGAGACGCGTTTCACACTTTTCGCAGAAACCAAACTTCTTCGGTCGAAATGCGATTCAAAGAGTTTTCGGGCGCAGCTTTAAGTGGTGTTCGATTTGCTTCAAACTGATTTTCAGAGCTCTACATAAAATCTTTAAGAATAGCGATTGGGGAAATTCCACCCGCAACAGTGGTAAATTGGCGGAAAACGTTTGTATGAAAGTTGTTTGCTTACCGTCCGATCAGTTTCAAAATAAGTTTCAAAGCTTTTTGAGAACATTTATTTTATACGTGCCACGGGCAAGGCCGGGCAATACCCGCCAGTATTATATATTTATATACTAGCGATTATTATATTTATAATCAATAGGAAGCTAAGCAATCGAAAATTGCTTACACATTTCAATTTAACATCTGCCTAATTGAATTTTCTCTAGATCCCCGTCTGCTGCTGTCGCGATGTATTAGTAGCTCGCTGCCTGCCACGCCCAGTCAACTGTATAATTTGTTGTGCATGCTATGTGCGTGTGTGTGTGTATGTGTGAGTGTGTGTGTGTGTGTGTGTGCTGATAATACATTTGACAAAACGCACATGCATATCTTAACATCTAATCGACTTTTGCCCTCGCTCCGATGCCGAACTTTGCTTTTACGCTCAACAAAAAGCTGACAAAGTGCTTGATATTATGTGAGGACTCACTTAGATGCCCTAACCTAGCTTTCAGTTATTATTTAAAGAATTTAAAAAGACATATCAAACATATAAATATATTATATTTATAGTAATTAGTAGCAGATATTGGCGAAAAGGGAATTTTAATTCGTGCTGAAAACACATCGTGTTTATTTCTCGAATTTTTTGTAGAGTGTTTGAGCTTCAGTTCTTTTACTGAGCATCACTTTCTTTAATATATGTTACTTTGCTGTCTTTGCTTTCTTTTATTGGACCATGTAAATCATTTTAAAAATAAACATATATACATCTTATTCTTTGCTTTCTAGAAAATTTGTTATTGCTCGCAGAGCATTCAAAATCATAATAAATGAGCTCGTGAATGCGTTGTTGCAGCCTTCGAGGTAAAAGCCTCTCAACTGAAGATGCGATAACTTTATGTTTTTTTATTTGTTGTCAGCCAAGAGTAAAACGTTGGCTTTTGATGACCTTTTTTTGCCAGTTGTTGTTTTGGTTGTTTACCTTTATCACACCACATTGTTAGCTGTTTTATTTATGTGAAAAGTTGCACAATTAAGTTGTATTTTACTGCAAAATAAAAATATTTATTTCAACTTGTTGTTGCTGTAGCTGCACTGCAATAATTATTGCCCTCCTTGTATATATACAATTCAACGCAGTCAAAAATATAATAGAAAGAGAAAAAAATGTATGCAAATGCACAAAGTCAGGAAAACTTTGTCGTCTGGTGTGTCAATTTTGCGTGACAAAACTTAATTAAAGGCACAGCGCACAGCGCAGGACCAAAACAGCATTTGTCATTTGGCGCATTTATAGAGTACATATATAGCTGATTATACCCCCCCGACTCACACCCTTTGGCTGACCTTGAAAGTTGTTTGTGGCCCATGCAGAAACTTAAAGTTTTGGTGCACTTCAAAGAGTTATATATTTTATTAAATACACATAAACATATATTACGCTGCACAAGCATATTTTTCTCATTCACAGCTGTCAGTGGCTGTATTTAATTAAAAACCCAGTTTTTTCGCATTAACTTTGGCTATTTGTTGTGGAATTCATAGAATCGGTATTGCCCGTTCGCTCAAGCGATTCATAACATTTTTCGTGTACTGAATTTATACGAATTTTAATAAATGTCATGTTTTGCATGCTGTTTGCCTGGCTGGCTGATTGATTTATGTCACAATATTTGCCTGGCGAATCCATTCGCAATCTGAGCGCTGGGCACAGAATGTCTGACCCTTTTGCCAGGTAAACAAACAGGTAAGCAACCACAACGACGGGCTACAAATCAACCTTGCCGTTTCTCTGTGTGTGTGCAGGTGTGTGTGTGTGTGTGTGCGGGCGAGTCTGCTGTGTGGGGGCTTGTGTGATTTACAAACTGTGCAAAATTAATTTCAACAGCTCGCCAGAGCCACACATCAGACTGTGGTTATATTAAACCTATTTGTATATCCCAGCAAAGGGTATTAATATATGCACATGAAATATGCTGCGTACTGATAGTGTTTTCTTTTTTATTTTTCAAAGCCAACAAGTACTCTTTAACAGGATCAGATGGACAGTATGGCCAACAGAACGTTATACTCAAGTCCTAAGCTCCTTCATAGATTCTATAATACTAAAGTCGATTGGATCGAAACAGTATGTTTTTTGTTTTGGCATTGATTAGTTAGTCTAAGCTCCATACATAAAGACAAAATATTATAAGCATTGTACACCTATATCATGAAGATGAATATAGGAATAATCAATGGAAATTGAGTTTTTGTATGGATACAAATTTGTTTTGCTGAAACTTACAACCTATGTGAACTATATGATAAGGCAACCCGATGCTGAGAAGCCTTTTCCCTAATATTTAGAACAAGTTAAAGCTCAATTGCATCCAAATATGAGGGACAAAGCTTTGTGTTTCTATATCAGGCAGCTCACATAGGTTTAATCGGCTGAGAGTTGAGATTTAACATAGGAATTTATTATTAAATTTAATGAATGAAATTGAAATCCATAAAGAATATATAATATAAACGAAAATTAGTTCTTGACGCGCTTTAAAACATGCTTCTTTAATGGAAAAGACTTGGTTGAAGTTCCTGTGACTATAAAGCCTTCCTATATAGCTTTGATAACTTTTAGCTGCCTGTTCACATTTACCAAAATATTTTTGATGTAATAGAAATAGGAAAAAGTAAAGTAAGTAAGGCGCATTCATCGGAATTAGTTATTCAACTTTTAACTGCTGCACTTGTCAGACACAAAATGTGAAATTCGATTTATACTTGGCTTTCAATTTGCGGCCTGGGTGGGCTGCTGCCAAACGGCGTTTAACGAGCGCATTTTGTTGCTGCGATCCGTTACCAAAAGGCCAACTGTCAAAGCATTGCGAAATCTTCAAGCCAACTGTCATAAATGTCGACATCATTAAAATGTCATAAAGTTGCGCCAGGCGGGCCCCGCTAAGCCACCCGCACAGACTTGCCCACAACATCAGCAACAACAACTGCTGCTGCTGCTGCTGCTGTTTCTGTTGCTGCGGCAGTAAGTAGATGGAGACGCTTCTCAAAAATGTGCAAAAATTTCGCGCACTTCCGTTACATTTCGCATCCTTTTTGGCTGTTTATTTTTTGGCGGCGCTTCCTTTAGACAAACCGCTGCGGATGCAGCGGAACGAAAAACTGAACTACCGAACGCAGCCCAAACAGGCGGGTGGCTGCCTGAATCTGAGGCCGCACTTGCTGTAAAATGACAAAGCAAGTTGCAGAAACTATTTCCCTTAAAGATAGAGAGAGAGAAAGCGAGAGAGAGAGAGAGAGAGATAGACTGGCAGAGCCGAGCTGCAGTTCATGAAAATTTCATTTTATGAAAATACTCGTACTTGTATTTTTATAGCACTTACTGCCAGCAGTAGATGAGTCAGCTGCAGCAGCTACAGCAGCAGCAGCAGCAGTAGACAGTGCACTCAGTTCTGATGGCATTTAAAAGTTTCGAGTCTTTATGCCATAACAAGTCTATTAAAGTTCCTAATGGGCGTGTCAAATGAAGCGTTTACCGCGCCTGGCATTAATCATACGCACCGTGGTGCAACATATTTGCCGCGCAATTCGTAAGATCTTCAAAATAAATGAATCTTAACTAAATCCCTAAACGTAACCATAATCGTTTGTTCAACTCGGCTCGCAGTCAATAAACGCAGCTTAAATCGAAGCCATTAAAATGTATATGTATATATCGAAGGGCGCATTTTATTTTGAAAGCTAATTAAGTGCGTCCATTAGACGCGACGAGCGTAGAAGCGGTTGGCGGTGTCCATGGTACGATTAATGAGGCGCAACAAGCAGAGTAGAGTGAGAGAGAGAGAGACGGAGGGCGTGGCAGCCAGGTCGTGGCAAGAACATTGAATTAAAGTTCAATTGGCCAAAGCAGGGTCAAGGGTCGTTAATAAAGCAACTAATAGCTAGGCTTAGAACTCAACAGCTGAATTTCATATTGCAAATGCCGAAGTTTATTATACATATCCGGGCTTCAATTTTTTTAGCTCCACGCTTATTCGATTGGGCATCTCTTCTTCGTCATCGTATTCGGAAGACTCCGACTCATACGGATCGTCGACAAGTACTCCGCTCGTATAATGTATAATTACGAATAACATGCCAATTATCTGAAATGTGAATAGGGCAATATTATCGCGTGCGATTTCCATTTCAATATTTTGTAAATAATCGTGGAACATTTTCTGACAGCCCGTGCAGTAGGGCAGCTCACAGCAGGCGGCCTTCGACCAGGTCCGATTCTCGATAATATAATCGATCTGGCCATGCATTCCACAACAATCGAATTTCGCCTCCATTGGCTCAATCAGATCCCTATGCCACAGATCGAACAGCATCATATTCGTAAAATATTGAAAATCTCTTCCATACCGATAACGCGAGATCGCAATAGTGAGCATAAAGAGCAGATTCAGAAAGCTCATGATCATGTAGCCGGCAAACTTAAAGACTGTCGGGTGCTTGGACATGCGTATGCCCAGGATGGCGGTCAGCAGATAGACAGCCAGAGAGACACCGCGTATCAGGGAGAGGCGCTGTGACAGACCCATCAGGCATATGGACATATTCACGTACTTCAGCTGGCGCCACAGTACATGATTGTACAGATCGATCAGAAAGATGCCGCCCACCGCCAGCAATAAAATGTTGATCTCAATGACAAGGCCCGGCGATACGGAGCAGCCCCAGCCCAGCAGATTTGCCATGCCATTCGCTATTATATTGTATTATGTGGCTGGGCTCTGGCTGACTGAAATGTGATGCAATGTTTATTTACTTTGATGTCGAAAACGAGTTGCTTTTTGAGAAGTTGACCCCAAAGCCAACTGTTGATTTGAGCCCCCCCCAGCTCGGCTGGCAAATATCAACATTTCGCTGTGTCTGTCTCTCCTTTGGCCCTCGCTTCAGACTTGTTGCTGAGGTTTCAAGTGCAAATGAGTTTGTTTTTTGGGGCAATAAAATGCGCCACCTGTTGCGTCCCGCCCCGTTCCGTCCTGTCCGCCTGTCCGCCTGTCTGCACTGTCAAGGCAGAAATAAAAAGAGAAACCAGAAGCAGCCACAGCTAGAATAACAGCCAACTGAAATTAAATATTTGCGCATCAGCCAACTTGATGTTGATTGCTCATGAACCGCACCCGCAACCCTCACCATTCCGAGCTGTACACGCCGCCCCCTTGCCACATTTGCCAGCATGATACCCTGTATTCGTTTGCAAGAGGCGTGCCTTGTTGACATACTTAACACGCACATTTTACACAATTATTTTATGGTTTTCTGCACTCAAATTCAAGCTCCTGTTCTGTAAATAATTCAATTAAAGCCGCAGCTTAAGCTGTCAGCAAATATTTGTTAATTTTATTGCTGTCGCTCAATTGTCGATTGTCAAAATCCACTAAAGGGCATCTCTTTATATATGCTCTAGCAAAATTGTCAACAGATGCTTATTATTATTTTTGTTATTACAGTTTTTCACTTATATTATTATTATTGTTTTTTAATTATTATTATTATTTTCATTATATCTTCAATATCATCATATTTCTGTTGTGATTATAATTATTATTAATATAAATGGTATTGTTCTTATTATTATTATTAATATTCTTATTTTTTATTTTTATTTTTTTACTATTAATATTTTTTAATTATTATTATTGTGTTCTACTACCTTTTTATTATTTATATTCTTTTGATATATATACATAGACATATTTTCTTAAATTATGATTTTTGTGCATTTAATTATCCACTAAATTGTATTAAATTTTTTTAAAAGATTTTTCAACTCTTCACCCCTGCAACTTCACCTTAAAATCATTTGCTAGACTCTTTAAGTGGGGCAGCATAAATAAATCGCAATTCATGCCAGTGACAGGTGTAGTCCTCGATTGGGTCTTCAGGTCGTCGATGGCAAATGAAGCCCAAACACGTATTGTCTTTGGGCCACAGCTGCATTTTGTACATTTAATTAAGAAACTGTGGCATATTCTGGCCAAGCACCGAAAAGGTGTTAGACCTGAACGGCAAACTTTTTAATTAAGCACTTTAAATTCGAGACCAACAAGATGTTAGTATAATACGTTAAATTGGCCATTCACGCATACGCTTCACTATCTGGTTCCGACTAGTCAGTCGCCTGCCAGTCGTTGGCTAATTTAAAACATTTCAAACTGAAAGCAACAACAAAATGGGCGCACCAACACTTCCGCTTGCCAAAATGTCAGCAGAGAAAACAATGAACGTCGCTGCGGAAGGTGCGGAAACAGCGGAAGGAGCGAAAAGTCACCGAGAAAAGAAAATTATGCCATTCGGATATCAACCTTATAGCGGGAACCATTGCACTTAGGGAATTGCTGCATTCAAAGCATTTGAGGGCATAAAAAATGCGCCCTTATGGGCCTTGGAGCGATGATTTTGATTTGCTTCTAATCTCGTTTTAAAGAGCTAGGGCTCAGAGCTGACTAAAAAGGGGTGTAATGTTTTTGTATCCTGAACTCATTGAAAAGGGGTTTAATGTATTTGTGCAAATAAGGTATATATATTCCTGATCGGCATCAATAGCCGAGTCGATCTAGCTATGTTCGTCTGTATTATCGTCCACCCGTCCGTCCATCTAAAGAAGCTAGAGAATGTATTTCCTCCTAGTGCCCGCGCAGTACGAGTTTCAAATAATCGATAACTTGTCTCGCTTCCAAGCAATCGGTAAAAATCGATATGGAAATAGTGTTTTTTGAGCAAGTCTCTTAGGTATTAAGGGCTAGACTCACCAAATTTGACATGTTGCTTCTAGAAGGTTATATATTGATCAAGTATCTTTAGTAGAAGACGGTTCAGGGTATCCCCGAGTCGTGCATCCTTACTAGAGCCCTCTTTCTTGATCATTACGTATTATGTATTTAAATACTGTAATTAATACTGATATCTTTATCTATATATATGCTCTATAGCAATTAATTAAAAATACTGCACATAACTGTATCAGCTTTAATTAATTGAATTTAAATGTAATTAATCTGAAATGTGTGCCCGCAGCAATGCGTTAATTAATCTAAAGATGCGTTGTTAAAATATTTACAACAAATAAAAGCATACTTTTATTACGTGCATGTATTGCCATTGGCATGTTAACCAAAACTTTTTTGTATTCGTACTCTTTCCATAAAGAGTATACGTTTGCTATAAAAAGCTTGTCAAATTGGGAATTATTATTAAAGTACCACTTTCTTGAGTGTTAAAAGCAGGGCTGTACGCAGGAGCTCAAATGCAGGTAGCTGGTTCAAACCTTAAATCCAAGTAATTTGCCATTTTGTGGTTCGGGTTGCAGCTGTGCTTTATTGAGTGAAATTTAATAAAAGTGAATAAAAGGTCCGCTTCAGTTAAGCGTTTATTAAGTCTAAGAAAATAAACTAAAAACTTTAGTTTTATTTTTTCATTAGTAATTAAGGCAATTAAATTATTTAAATTTTAAGCTGGCTGTGTCATGGTTTATAACGTTTATCATTTCATCGAATTTGATCGAAATTGAATTATTTCTTTTTAATATAATGAACAATTTTTCAATAGTTCTTTTACTATTTAATATTTATACCAGCCCTGAGTGTCATGATCTGCATTTAAGTTTGTTTTTATTTAATTTTTTTTTTGTCATAATTATGCAAGCATATTATGCAATATTTTATGGCGCTGGGTGAGGGCATGCGAATTGAGTTGACAATTAAGCATAATTATATTTTTAATTTTGAATGTTTTGGTTTCATTTCAATGTGTATTGCTTTTTATGCAATTAAATGGATGTGTCATTGTTTAAATTTCAACTTTGCCGCGTTTGACGTTGCTTAAAACATGTTTTAACGCTTCTTTTATTTGTTTTTGTTGTTGTTGTTGTTTCTACTTGCTGTTGTATTTAACTGTTATTTAATTGCAATAATGCAAAGGAAAATTGCATTTTGTGGGCCGCAGTCAGCTTGGCCAAGGCCCAGCGGCCCGGCACTCATCAATTATTTATAGGATATTGTGAGCTTTAACACTTTGCCAAGAGTTACGTGACGAGCAGCAGTTTGGGCATAGCCAAAGCTGCCAGCCACAAAGACTGCGGACAATACGCTACGCAGTCCAGCTGCCAAAGTTGGGCAGCGCAGCGACAGTTCCCTGCAGCTGATGCCAAGATATGCGCTAATTGATTTAAAAGTGTTGGCCATGAATTTTGCACGGCCCGGCCATTGATGAGTTTATAATCATAGGATTCGCACGGCTAGCGAATGCCATATAAATAGCCAGACTGGAGCTGCCAGGCAGACGACAGTTAGCTACAGTTGCTGCAACATGCGGCTGCAACGCATCTTTCCCAGCATGTACACGGCGCCGGACTCTGCGCCAGCTGAATCGCGCAAGGCAACGCTCTATTTGCTGCGCTGCATTTTTCTAATGGGCATACGGACACCGCCTCAAAGATTCTTTGCCATCTATTGCCTGTGGTCGTTTGCGCTAAATCTAAGCTCCACATTTTACCAGCCCATTGGCTTTCTGACCGGCTACATCAGTCATCTGTCTGAGTTCTCGCCGGGTGAGTTTCTCACCTCGTTGCAGGTGGCGTTCAATGCCTGGTCCTGCTCGGCCAAGGTGCTTATTGTGTGGTCGCTGGTCAAGCGTTTCGATCAGGCCAACGCCATACTCGATGAGCTGGACAAACGTTTGCTGGTGTCCAGCGAACGTGCCCGATCACATTATGCTGCCGCCCGCAGCAATCGCATCTTCTTCATGTACATGACCGTGTATGTGGTATATGCGACGAGCACAGCTATCGTCGCTGCCTTCATGGGTGTGCCCTCCTTTCAGAACTATTATCCTTGGCTGGATTGGCGCGCCAGCCGTTGGCAGTTCTGGCTGCAGTCCGGTCTGGAATACTTTGCCATGTTGGGCGCCTGCTTTCAGGATGTCTGTGTGGATTGTTATCCCGTCAATTATATGCTGCCACTGCGCGCTCACATGGCCATCTTCAGGGAACGTCTGCGTCGGCTGGGCAACGACCCAGAGGAGAAGCCAGAGGAGCGCTACAAAAAACTCATCGATTGCATTAAGCATCACCAGGTGATCCTGAGGTCGGCCCAAGTCCTTTAATTTTCTTTTGGGACATTTTGTCACTTATGTGCTTTGCACACTTTGCAGCTATTGTGATGTGTTACGTCCCCTGGTTGGCGGCACCATTTTTGTCCAGTTTTTAGTTGTGGGCATGGTACTGGGCTTTACGATTATTAATATTGTGATGTTTGCCAATTTCGGCTCACGCATCGCGGCTTTTTCCTTTATGTGCTGCATTATGCTGGAGACAACGCCTTTCTGCATACTCTGTAACTATCTAACGGATGACTGCTACCAGCTGGCGGATGCTCTATTCGAATCCAACTGGATCGAACAGGATAGGTTTTATAAGAAAATAGTTCTGCAGTTTTTGCAGACTCTACAGAAGCCCATTGTTTTCATGGCTGGCAACATATTCAGCATTTCTGTGGCCACAAATCTGACCGTAAGTTAAGTTTACAAAAAAGTAGGCTGATTCGAATGTTTTACCTGTTAACTTCTTTATAGGCCATGAAATTCTCCTTCTCTGTTTTTACGCTGGTCAAACAAATGAATATAGCTGAGAAGCTGTCAAAATCCACGAAATTTGAACATGAAGCAGAGCCAATATAAAAATTATTGCTTATTGAATCTTTACTGATCCATTAAGATCAGATTCTTGACAGATTGCTTTGAATGTTAACAGCTTTTCCCTAAAAACGTTGGCGTTAACCAACACTACTAAGTAATAATAGTTAAAAGTGGACGTTTATCAACACTACCAAGAAATTATACCACTTAATCAATACTTCTTTGTAATAATAGCTTGCAAACATAGCAATATTCATAAATGTAACAACACAGAGTTTTGAAGAAATGCGTTAACCAACACTTCTACACACTTCACAAAATCAAAGCTGCTTTGAGCTATGTATTTGTGTTTGTCTACTATTAAATACTCTGACATTTTTGTGATTTTAAATAATGTATTTACCAACACTGCTACTAAGCAATTACAGCATAGAGTTACTTTCAATTGATTTAACACACTTGTGTTAATCAACACTACTAAGTGCATACAAAATAACTAACACTAGAGTAAATTGTTCTTATTACATATGTTAGGGCTGCGTATAACAGTTATATAAATGAATATTTCACCTGCCTGCAGACGAAAACTTATTCACTTTTAAATTTATCCGCAATATTCATTTGCTTCGTGATGGTTATGACCGAAAAGGCAAATTTAGCAACCTATTAAAGAGGAATAAATGGAAGAAACAACAAATTATACAAATAAATGAAAATATGAATAAATGTCGATGGCGATGCCATTGTCATTGGCATCACTTACGCTGATGTTGCTGCTCATTGATATCGGCAAGATGCCGCCGGCTATGAAAACGATGGGCTGCTGTACATTGTGTAGAAAATACAATAGGGTCGACTGGTATCGGGAGCCGGAATCTATCCAATTACTCTGAAATAAGGCGTGCGCCAGGGCTTCGCAGTCGTCAATAATCAGATTGCAGAGGTAGCAGAAGGGGAACGTCTGCAGCAACGTGGTGATGACAAAAACGAACGAGGCAATGGCCACTGGTAGAGAGTCCGAGAAGAAGAACACATTAATCAGGGTGAGCCCAAGAACGAGGCCAATCAGCAGGAACTGGGTGAAAATCGTGCCCGAGATGACAGGACGTATGAGGGCGCAGTAACTGCCGAAGCGTGGAAGGGTGAATATTATAAAGAGAGATTTGCTAGCTCAGCTTCTTACTCGAGTATCATCTTGTGATCTATGACGCACTTGACCAGAGCCTCGTAGTGCTCGTTCTCGGTCATGGTGTCGTCGGTGCGCAGCTTGCGTATGCGCTCCCTGAGTATGTCCAGGTGAGTGCGCAGGAGGAGCGCATATATGATCGGATAGATATCTGACAGCTGATCCTGCAGCACGGCGCCCGACATGATAACATACTCGAGCGTCGAGACAATCCACAGATTGAGCGTATTCTTGTGCCAGTCTATGAGGGGATTGTATATCTGCCAGGGCGGACGACCGCTCAGCACAGCGGTCAGATACGTGGAGCCTGCATAGACACAGTAGACAAATGTGTAGATCACAAATACTAGATTGCTGCGCGACACAACCAAATGGATTTTCTCACGCTCATCCAGTTTGGTGCAGCGCAAATCCAGCTTGTCCAGCAAATCCTTGGCCTTGCTCAGACGCGACAGCTTTGTGTAGGTGACGGCCACCTTCACCGAGGAGCCATACGCATTGATGCACACTTGCAGCGAGGTGAGAAACTGGCCCGGCGTGAACAGCTTGATCATTGTCATATAGCTGCCCAGAAAGCCCAGCGGCAAATAGAAGGTCGACCATAGGAATGTATTCAGCGTCCAGAAGAGATATAAATAGCGCTGCGGCCCCGCCTTGGGCGGTCGCCAGCCAATGAACTTCATCGCGCGATACAAGTAGATGCAGCCATCCCGTGAGCGCACCTGCTCCGTAAGCGGTGCCGGTTTGGTCAGCTTGAAGAGCATCCTGTGTTGACGGCAATATTGTGTTTCTGGCGAATGTGCTGGGCAGCCGGGGCCGGCGGTTTATATAGCAGCCGATGGGCCGTTGGGCCGATGGGCTGTCGCCATTTTGGGCAAGTTTTCAATTCAGTGGCAAAGTTTGTCAACAAGTTTTCAAGCAGCTCCGCGCTTTTGTTTTTAATTATTCACTTGCGAATTTATCGCTCTGCTCCGTTATGTTTAATTAACAGAGCGAGCGTTGAGTGCAGCGCCTCGCAATTTGCGCATATTTCCACATGTTGACTTTCCGGCCTGCATTAATGATGCGGCCCCCCGCACACAAAGTCAACCAAGGAAATTGCACATACGCAGCGTGTGCCGTCGTTTTGTTTGTTTTTTTTTTTGCTTTTTGGATATGCATCTTAATTGCGGCTAATAAGTTTTCAATTTAAGCTGTCGCTTGACAGGCGCGCCGCGCACCTTAAGTCATTTGCATGCGCGGCCCATAAACCTGTGTTCTTTTGTATACTCTATTTGGGAAAGGGCAGTAGGGAATATGGGTTGCGGGTGCTATGATTGTTCGATCGGGCTGTCTGCATGCAAGAGCTGAGCTAAGACTAACTAAACCTGTATTTGGATGATTATGAGCTCAAGTAATAAGCTATTTTAGCCACGCCCACTTATTGTATATCTGGGAATATTTGCTTTATTTTTTAAGAAAATCTCCGAGCTAAGTTCAGGGAAAATTTAAAAAATTCTAAAAAAAAATAGCTTTAGAATTAGTTATTTAAAATTGTCGAGTTTATTTTCTGAGCAATTTTGGCAATTCTTGCTGGCAGTTCTTTGGCTCGAGTGATCACTGTAAGCGCTTGTTGTTGACTTTTAGTTTAAACGAGCGCTGCCCACACTGGGCACAGTGTATGTGAAAGTCGTGACGTTCTTGATATGTGTTTTTTCTCAACGCCCTCTTTGTTAGCGTTAGCAGTCGATCTAATATGCACAACTTGGCTTGTGCGGGGGGGAATTGCTTGTCGACAACAACAACAAAAATAAGAATGTTTTTTTGTTCTTAAATGTCGGCTAATCGCAGCCAAGTTCAAGGCGCAGGGGTCGGCCTTCAAGTTCAATTGCAATTATTAAATTTGCAGCCAAATAAGACAAGATATTTTGCATAATCAGCTTTAAAGCTACTCCCAGTGGCATTTGTTGTGCGCGCGCGTGTGTGTGTGTGTGCATCTTTGTATATCTGCTGCTTGACATTACAGTGGAGCTTTAATGAAAAATATGTTCGCTGAGTGTTATTAATATTCCTCAGAATGTCTGGCGTTTGACACATGTTTTGTTGTCGGTGTCGCTGTCGCTTTTGTTGTGCGTCTCCTACTGTCGGCTACAGCAACTGCTACTGCTACTGCTACTGCTCCTTTTTCTGCTGCTGCTGCTGCTGTGTCTGTGCTCTGCACAAGTTGACATTTTTTTTCATTACTTCAACGTTTCAATAGAAGCAACAGCAGCCAGCTGCCTGGCTACAAATAAACGCATGTGTGCTCTGTGTGTGTGCTGTGTGCTGTGTTGTGTACAAAAGCAAGTGTGTTGTGTCCAAAGGCAGCGCGTGAAGTAAGGGCAAGGATAATCTTTTGTTTGCCATTGTACAGCTCACACTTGGATACTTTCAGCTGCAGGTAAGCAGCAGCTGGCACCTGTTTTGGGCCACAACATATTTGTTTATTTGCCCTACCCCCCGGCCAGAGGTGTGCTACGCACTCATATGTTGGCTGACAGCATGGCTTACGTGCCGACATCTTCCAGAATTTATGCAGCATAATCAAGCCTGTTGGTCAGCCAATGTGGCCGACTAGAAATTCCATTCAGCATCGTATCAATCAAGCCATTTAATGTAGCGCACACGCCACGGCGCGTTTGGGGGCCATAGCTTACGGGGAAAAGCGACCCTCAAGCTTTGCTCGAACCACTTTAAAGATGTCGCTGGTTCGCTCAACTAATTGCAGTCGGCGCGTGTCAGTTGTGCCTTTTATACTGGCTGCCAGGACTCGGGTATGTGCATTTAATAACATCAGCGAGTCATTTATTATCGCTTGACGTATTTATTTTAATTAACGGAAATTAATGCCACAGTGCGCAGCTGTGCGAACATGTTTGCAGTTGCTACACACACACACACACACACGCACACTTCCCCCCTTCCCCCACTCTCAGATGGCTGCTGCTCCTGGAAACACCTGACGACAGGCGCACACACGAACACTGGCTCCTAAAAGGCTGCCACACACAGAGCATATGTCGTTCAATGTATCTTGTTGAGATCCCAGCCGCACACACACACACACACTCGCAGGCACACACTCAGAAGGTAGTGTCAATCTGTTTTTGATATGCTGCAAATTAATGGAGTTAACAACGTGGTCTGCCAGCCTTCGACTGCGCTATAAGCCACATGCATACATGTCTGTATATAATACATACAACTTGATTATATATTTGTTTAATTCATTTGACTGCACATTTTGTTTATCGTTAGCAAATCGCTTACTTTTGTCAAGTATATCTATTTATATTTAAATATGTAATTTCGTTCGAGCAAAACTTTTCTGCAGCCGTTGCTACATTAATTTTTAATTAATAAAACTAACATGAGCTTGTAAGCAACCCAAAAGTTGCATTTATTTTTAATTATCAAAATGAAAATGCCATATTTTTATAAAAAACTCCAAATTTGAAGTACAACTATCAACTGTTTGCGAACATGTAAATAGTTGGCTGCACTTTCATAAATCGTGTTTACCATAGAAGCGCGCGAATAGCTGATGCACATATTTTTATATTTATATCCTGCATTGAATACAATTGGGTATATGTGCAAATATTTGTTATTGGCAGTAGAAGAAATTCAACTCGCCCTTCCATGCGATTTTCATGGTGGCTCTACGTAGGTCTATAGTATGGGGAGTTCCGCTTAACATATTTCTTAATGATTATTCATTTACTTTCTCTCTCACTCTCATCAAAACTGACTTTCTATGCGATATTCATGAACCGCCTTTCTATGCGGTTTTCATGTTTCTAAGTCTAGAATATTCACAGTAAATTTAACTTTGTTT